TCCTGATCTCGTCTTCTGCTATTCAGGCCCTCGCTCTGGATATCCAGAGCTTAGCAAACTTTGTTCTTGTGACGTGTACAAAGAAGGAGTTGAAGACAATAACCCATTGTCCCTTGTAATCCTTGCTAGGAGTTGTTTCTAGGTCTCTGGAGGTGAAACGCTGTGGTAGTTGACCACCTTGTTTCTCTCTCCTTGATGATGTACAAGCCAGAGACATAGACTGTGGGTTTTTGTTCATGACTGAAAATATTAGCCCACTTTCCATCACTCCGTAGCAATCCCTGACTTCTGTAGGTTTACATAGGAGCTTTAATGTTGCTCTTATTATTGGGAGTGGTATGGCAAGAGCAAGTTGGGCTAGTCCTCATGGTTAAACAAGTCAGAGTTCCCATTCCCTGGGAAATTTTGATGAGTTTATTCCTTTTTTTAAAAAGTTGATGTTGTTTCTAAAGTTCCTGCAGAAAGGAACATCCAAAAAGTTGGTCTGAGATGATTAAGATGTGTTATTTAATTGAGTCCTGGCTCCAAGGCATAAGCCAGCATTCTCGGTTTTTCTAGACTTGCCGTGAAACTGGAAGACTGTTTAGAGTTCAATTGTTCGGCACTGCCACAGTCTCTGGGCTCCGCAGCTGCAACCTGGGAACCCCTTTGGTCTTGGGAGGGCCTGCATGGTGCATCTTTCCCAGAGCCATGCACACTTGAAAAAAGCTTTGACAGCTTGGTCAACCCTTCTACCAAAACTCAACAGTGAGTTGGGGCTGATACGTTTGTGCAGTGTGCTGGTTTCCACCAATCGGCACTTTCCAATGAAAAGCTGTTTTGTTGGAAAACTCCTGACCAGCTCCACTTGTGAACTCTTGGAAAAAGTAGCTTCAGCAACTGGTTTTAGTGCCTTGCATAATGCAGGGTGAGTTTTAAAAATGGGATTTTTCAAAACAGGGTTTAGTTATTTGAAACAATGGCAGGAACAGTCCTCAGTGTGTTAACCTCCTTGGGAGCTGCCGTCTTGCTTATTCTTCATCAGCTGGACCTCCTGCTAGAAATGGTCTTGAGACACAAGAAAATTTCACAACTCAAATGCGGAGAGGGAGGACTTGAAAACTTCAGAGATCTTGGGCAACTTCTGATTTTTAAATGAACGTGGTTAATTTTCAGGGGGTTGACTTAGCTTAACAACTGGGAAATTTTTAATTGCTCTTTGCATTCAAAAAGTCACCATTTCCCATTGCCCTGCTCAGCTGTCAGGATGGTAGCGATGTCTGATCACCAAACTGGCTTTTATCACATCTAAGGAACACTTGCACTCTTCTAGTCTGTCTCTCCTCTCACCCCCCCCCGCCTAATTTTCCTTTAACTGAGACTCTGCCCTGCACGGGAGGACAGAAAGTAGACTTGTGAAATTGGCTGAGTATCTTTATTATTCTGTCCCCAGCGCCCTGTCGGCTCCCAAGATGTATAAGTACGGTAGAAAGTCAGTTCTGCAAGGTTTCTGCTCCCCACAGGTACCCGTGGAAATAGAGATGTTCTGTGCAGACCCATTGCTACAGGTATATTCCTGTTGTGCTTGGTCCTTATCTGGAGATGTCCTCCTGGCATTGATCTTCTCTTAACGCCCTTCTCGGTCATGTGTCCTGCTCCTGAGTTTCTGGAAGGAGTCTTGTGTGAGGCTCAGCAGTTCCTTTTGCAGGGGGAAGTTAGTCTTGCCATTAGTTAGTAGTTAAGTCCTGGGTATAACTGACTTGGTACATTGTTTGGGTTTTTTCCTTCCCCTCTAGGTAATTAAATGCCTTTACTGAGGATCTCTGCTCTGTTGGAATGCTTGGATGCACAGCAGCTCTTCCCATAACTTCTTTCCGCCTGCCCCATTGTGAGAAGATGGCGAAAGCAAACATTACCAGAGACCTCATCCACCGGCAAATCAAGGTATGTGTTAGCCAGAAGACTTGATTGCAGTGGGAGGGTTCAAGTGTGGGAAGCAAGTTCAGTGTTCATGCTACAGGTTTTACAGGCAACCTAGTGCAGCTTAGTCTTCACACAACAGATATCTGCCATGTGCCCTTGTGCTGTGGTTTTGTTAGCTCTCAGACTAAATTGGGTTAAAAATGGCTGGGAAATTTCCCTGAAAACCGCAGGAGGTTGGGCTGTAGGCTGATTAGGAGCTGTGCGTCTTCAGGACAGCTACTGAACTGCCACCAGACTAGGCATTAAGGGCACTGTCCTGATGGAGTTGCCACATCTGGATGAAATGTACAAAGTTCTTTGCCTTATGATTAATTAAATCCTTTCAGTGACTCTTGCAAAAGTAGAAGTTAATCAGGGTGTGATAGCAGAAGCCTCCATGGGGACAGTTCCATTTTGCTAGCTCAGATTTCCTCAATGGTTTTGTTGGACAGAGGACACTTAAGTATCCAAACCTGCTCTTAGTATTTATATTCAAAGTCACCCATTGCTGTTGATCTGGGAGATTCAGTATGCTGTTTAAACTTCTGCTCTTTAACTTGTGAATGCATGGAGCCCAGTGAGGTGGAACACAGAAAATTACAATAAAGCCAATATTGTGCCTCTCTTGCAGTCTCCAGAATGGGGACTGCAACATACTCTAACTTGTTGAGTTCTTCATCGCTGCTCTCTCCCTATCATGGGCAATGTACCAGTACTTGGTTGTCAGTGCTGTATCTTAACCCCCTTGAAGTATGCCTGGGTGTGTGCTGTGCTCCTCCAGACTCTATAGTAAAGTATCACATTGGATGCTATGGGCTCAGGAGGCTTGAAAGATTGTCTGAAGCTCTGGGATGAGCTCTTCCTGGAACGTTTCTGGTCTACCATCACAGTGGGACTGTATTGCAAGAGTAAATCCTATGTGCTGGAGGTGGATGCTTTCTCAAGGACTGATTCAAGTTTGTGGAGCAAGCTACCACAGATTTATCTTCTGCTCCAAGTGCAGGGTGTGCTTCTTCATCCCTCTATTAGCAGAAGAAAGGATCATAATATATATTATGAAATACATCATTTATCTTTGGAGAGAACTGCACATGCCTGTTGGTCGTAATGCTAGTTTTTCTGCCAGGCACTTGGATATTGTAGTGACAAGCTGTATAAGAAGTCCTACAGTCTAAGTGCAGGACATAGAGTAAGTGTCAGCAGATCAAGGGAATGATTATTCCCCTCTATTCCTCACTGGTGAGGCCACATCTGGAGTCCTGTGTCCAGTTTTGGGCACCCCCAGGACAGAAAGGATGTGGACAAGTTGGAGAGAGTCCAGTGGAGGGCAGTGGAAATGTTTTGAGGACTGAAGCTCATGACTTGTGAGGAGAGGCTGAGGGACCTGGGCTTATTTAGTGTAGAGAAGAGAAGACTGAGGGGGGCGGGGATTTAACAGTAGCCTTCAACTCCATACAGGGGGCTTGCAAAGAGGATGGAGCTGGACTGTTCTCAACGGTGGCAGATGACAGGACAAGGAGCAATGGGCTCCAGTTGCAGCAAGGAAAGTTGAGGTTAGATATCAGAGAGAACTCTTATGCAGAGGGTAGTAAAGCACTGGAACAGGTTACCCACAGAGGTGGTGGGGTCTCCATCCTTAGAGGCTTTTAAGACCTGGCTGGACAGAGCTTTGGCTGGGATGATCTAGTTGGGGATAGTCCTGCTTTGCCCAGGGAGTTGGACCTCTGGAGATCCCTTCCAACCCTAACTTTCTTTGATTCGTTGACATCTTTGCATTTCCTTAAGAGCTGGGCAAAGTGTGGTGGAAAGGGAATGTATTCCAGTAGGGCAAAAACTGAATTGTGAAGTTTAAAACCCACAAGATTGCCAGTTTTTTAATCCAGTGTTGGAGAGAGTCTTGCTGCTTCAAAATTCCTGTCATTTGGGTTACTGTAAAGGGTTGCTAACAGGTCCCTTCAATGGTTCTGTCAGGTTTTACCCTCCATAAACCTATCTTGTGTTCCCAAGAGATCATCTAGTCACAGCAGAACCAGCTTGACATGTTTTTTTTCTTTTTCTTTTTTAATATAAGGGGAAAACCTCCTGTTGTCCTGATAGCTGCACTAATGAAATGTCCATTAACTTGAAAGGAATAACAACAGCTGATACAACATACAATCATTTCCTAGTGCTTGAGGCCTTAAATTTTTTGCAACTTTGCTCGTAGTATTTGTAGGAGTGGAGTGTAAGCTAGTAGCTAGAGCAGGGAAATGGGAACTGGCATTTATTCCCAGTACAGCATTTTATTCCCAATAACTCATGAGGCTAAAAGCCTGTAGCTTAACCTTTCTGTGCCTCTCTTATTCAGTGGTTAGTGGTTAGGGCATGAGCCTGGGACTCTGAGCTGGCTTCAGTTCTTTGCTCTACATCAGGCTTCATATGTGACCTTAAGCAAGTGCTTTTGATCTGCATCTGCCTCTATGCAGAATGGGGGTGCCAGTACTCTTACCCCACAATAATAAGAGAGGCATCTGTACTACAGGACCTCATATGAGGTATAGGAAGGGTTTATCTATGCTATTGATGAACATGTGTAAAATGTCGCAAGTTGCAGTGAAAATGATTTTAATTGCTTCAAATTTGGCTCTAGCAGCTGGAAAAATAGCTGTTAATGTTCAGAAACCAGCTTCTGGTCCACTGTACCGTGATATGGTACATCCTGCTCCTCTGTCCACATCCTCCTGCTGGGAGGCATTTCAAATGATCTGTTGCAGTTATTTCAACAAAGACCTCTGGGTTCTGGGAGTAGGTGCCATCTCATTGTTGTACACAGTGGGAAATAGGAGTGTAGAAATCATGGCTTTCCACTGGCTAAACGCGTGATGGTGAGCAGACATGGGTCCTAGCTTCTAGGTTTGTACTCCAACTACTAGATGTCCCAACCTTTCTTTGCTTCTGCCATTAGCCTTCCTCCTCCATCCAGGGCATCTGTTCATGTATTTGGGAATCTCTTGAGGGGAAAACAACTATCTTACTTTTCCTCACCTTCAGGGGTACTGCCACAGCTCTCTGGCTGCTGTTTTCTCTCCTGTGGTGCATCCCAGGCTTGTGGCACTGCAGCTGTATGCTTCTGCTCCATTCCTATCTATAAAAAACATGCCTTGGTTCCCAAGGAGGTGGTCCAGTTCACTGGCACAACAATTTCCTCCCTAGTTGCTGTGCTCCAAAGAAATACTGAGACTGGCCTAGGAATACTGAAAATGGAAGAGCTGATTTTTGTTGTAATGTAGTCGCCCTTTGTTGCTTTGTTAGAGTCGCACAACCTCTGACCACAGTAGGTTTTCCATCCAGCAGCCTTTAATCTAGTATTTGGAGTGAACCTCCAGCTGTGACTTGAGGCTTCTACCTTTTAGCCTGTACTTACCCAAGATGGGGCTTCCTTCTGCAAACTCCCTTTTTGGCTAGAAGCATAATGTGCATACCCCTG